ATGCCGCGATTGTGTTCTGTAGCGTTGTGGATCGAGCCCTCCTTTGCATCCGAGTCCTGACCGAACTGATCTGGATCTGAAGCTCGAGTTGCCTGAGCACATGGTAGCTGCCCCAGGGCTGATGGACAGTGGGACATACCACTTGGACGCGCCGCGGAACGTTCCAGGAGACGCGCTAGGGGGACGTGCCAGGTGACGTGCCATGGAGACGCAAAGCAGAACGTGCCAAGGGGACGCGCTACGGAACAAGCCAATGGACGAGCCAGGGGACGCGCCGCGAGACGTGCCAGCGGATTTGTCGCGGGACGCGCCGCGGAACGTGCCAGGGAACGTGCCAGGCTGCAATGGTGAGTGGATCGATCTTGATGTACCGTTCCAGGGGGTGGGTTGTGCTGCGCCGTGCTGAATTGCGATATGTCATGCCGCGACTGTGCTCTATAGCGTTGTAGGTCGTATCCTGCATTCGAGTCCTGACCGAACTGATTTGGATCTTAAGCTCGAGCTGCCTGAGCACATAGTAGCTGCCCCAGATCCAACTGACATGGGGGACATGCCAGGGGGACGCGCCGCGGAACGTCCCAAGGGGCGCGCCAGGGGGTCGTGCCATGGGGACGCAAAGCGTGACCTGCGAAGGGGAGGCGTAACGGAACGTGCCAATGGACGTGCCACGGGACGTGCCAGGGGACGTGCCGCGCGACGTGCCAGGGGGATTCGCCACGAGAGGCGCAGCGGAACGTGCCAGGGAACGTGCCAGGCGACGCGCCAGGGAACGTGCGAGGGAACGCGCCAAGGAACGTGCCATTGGACGTCCAGGACCCAGGGCCAGAATCCCTCGTAAATTACGCAGCGTCCGCGCTCCCAGGACCACGATCCATCGTAAAGTACATTGCGTCCGCGCTCCCAGGGCCACGATCCCTTGTACATTACGTTGCGTCCGCTCTCCCTGGACCACGATCCATAGTATACTACGCTGCGTCCGCGCTCCCAGGGCCGCGCTCCTTTGCGCATTACTTTGCGTCCGCGCTCACAGGTCCACGTTCCATAGTAAATTAAATTGTGTCCGCCCCCGAGGGCCAGGATCCTTTGTAAATTACGGTGTGTCCGCGCTCCCATGGCCACGATTCTTTCGAAATTACGTTGCGTCCGCGCTCCTAGGGCCACGATTATTTCTGAATTACGCTGCGTCCGCTCTCCCTGGCCTACGATCCCTTGTTCATTACGTTGCGTCCGCGCTCCTACGCGTTCCCTTGTGAATTACGCTGCGTCCGCGCTCCCAGGGCCACGTTCCATAGTAAATTACACTGTGTCCCCCCCCCCCTACGGGCCAGGAGGATCCTTCGTAAATTACACTGCGTCCCCGCTTCCAGAGCCACGTTCCCTAGTAAATCACGGTGCGTCCGCGCTCCCAGGGCCACGATCTTTTGTAAATGACGCTGCGTCCGCTCTCCTTGGGCCACGATCCCTTGTGAACTACGCTGCGTCCGCGCTCCCAGGGCTGCGCTACCTCGTGAATAATGTCCGCGCTCCCAGGGCCACGTTCCCCAGCAAATGACTCTGTGTTCGGGCTCGGGCTCCCAGAACCATCTGGGCATCCTGGAGCGCCCAGGCCGCTCGGGTCCTGCAAAACAAGCGTTTTAGACATCCTCGAAATTCCTGCGCGCGGGACGCGCCATCCTCGAGCGGGCACGCGAAAAGCATTCTTTCTTTATAGAACAGCATGATCTCCATGTCAATGTTTTTTCATGGATTCTGCGCAAAACGCTCCGCACCCAGTTATTGATCGAGGATCCAAGATATGGGGCACATTGTCTTTGAGCGGGTACGCGCGAAACGCACTATATGAAAACATCAGACTTTACCACGTTATCTATCGCAAATGGTTCCGCCAGCCCATCCCCAACATGGCACCTGCGACAGGTTGACCAATTGAGAGAGGACCCTGGGCTGGAGCCCTTTCTGGGAAAAACTGTCCCCCGTGTTTTCCCCTCATCGCCTCCCTATTACACTCGGTCGTGCAGCGAGGATGCCCGCCATCACATGCCCAGACATCCGGCGCACCGACATTTCGAAGCATGGCCCCTTGGATGTCTGGACCCAGTCTCCGGGGCCGGTTGAAGGAAGCAAAGCACAGATCTAAGTTTCGAGGGGTCCACGCGGATTTCTTGGAGAGGTGCTGCACCCTTCCGACGGCGCCTTCTGCGCCACCCCGGGCGCGCCTTGCACGCCAGCTAGAGGGGGGTCTAGCGCCTTTCCGAGAACCCCGCGCGGGCCTTCGAGCGTGCATGCTTGTGCGTGTGTGCTCTGGATTTCCTGTTCCTGATCCTGCCCTGCTGCGCCTCAGCCACGCGCAGAGGGGGGTGGGGGGAGGGGGGGGAGGGCTTCTCAGAAGCACCCTTGCCTCCCAGAAGGCGCGGGCCTTCTCTGTGGATGTGAGGCTGGCGCCTTCTCAGCAGCAGCCTCCCTCGAAGAAGCCCTCTTCCCCTCTTCTTCCACCGCCTGGCGCGCGCCGCCGCGCTCCCCCTCGCTCACCCTCAGGCCCGCCCGCTCGCGCCTCGGCCCTCGGGCCGGGCTCCCAGTCGCACGCGCCACGGGGGGGGGGCAGGTTCGCAGGTTCCAGGGGGATGCAGCACAACCTCCAATCTCACCACCCACCAAACCACCCCAACCCAAGCCGAAGGGTCAGATTTACCCTCGATTTCTAGTGGCGGGGGGTCCAGGAACATCGAAAAAACACCTATGGAGCCCATACCCCCCCAACCCGAAATTCGGGTCTTCGGGTTGGGTTGGGGTTGTCTGGTAGGTAGTCACAATCTCGGGGGCCCCCACAACGGGGTGGTGGCCACACCGTGTGGTGGGTCGGTGGGGATTCGGGGTCCCCGCACGGTCTTTTGGGACTCGGGTCCTTCTCCGAGGACGTCTCGGGCGACTGGGGCGGGGCATCCGAGGTCCCAAAAGACCGTGCGTGGACGGACCGTGCGGTGAGGTCTTGGGGGATTTCGAGGTCACCGCACGGTCTGTCACCGCACCGTTTCGGGACTCCAAACGACGTTCGCCCATTGCTCGCCGATGGGGGCCCGAGGGCCCAGTCCCGCCCAGGGCCATGCGGTTTCGGTATCGCGGGGGCCTATCGCCGATCTACGGGCCGCGCGCCGCTGATCCCAGCTCGACGTTTCCCCACGAGCGTTGCCGCTCAGGAGAGGCAGAGGAAGAGAGAGAGAGAGCGAGAGCCGAAGAAAAAGCAACGGCATAAGCATGAACTTTCGGAGCTCCGCGCGGACTTCATGGATCTGCGCTCTATAGTTCCCCTTGCCTCCCGCGCCGCTCCCTGCGCGCTCCGCGCGCCCTTGGAGCCTCCGGCGCCGCACCTGGCGCGCTCCGCGCGCCGGGGAGGGGGCTCCAGCGCAGATCCTCAGAGCCCCGAATCATCAGGGGTAACTCGGGTCAGGGATAACTCGGGTTCGTTTTTCGGGAATCCAAACCCGAGTTACCCCGGACCCGAGTTACCCCGGATGACTCGGGCGTCCAGAGCCCCGAATCATCAGGGATAACTCGGGTCAGGGATAACTCGGGTTTGTTTTTCGGGAACCCAAACCCGAGTTACCCCGGACCCGAGTTACCCCGGATAACTCGGGCGTCCAAGATCCAACAAATCCGCGAGGACCTTCCAAGGTTTCTGTTTGTGCAGTGGTTCGGCGGCGCGCCCTGGGGGGGAAGTGTGAAGGAAGAGGCCTTCTCATCAGGCGGCGGGGCCCCTCAGGAAGCCTCCTGAGAAGGCCAGAGGCCCTCTGGGCCTTCTGAGGAGGCCCACCCCCTTATGACTTCCCCCCCTGGGCTCGCCGTTCTGTCTTCCTCTGGATCGACGGGGTCTATACACTATACATGTCCACTGTCGGGGATGTGTATAGACTTCGTTGCCCTGTCGAGAGACAGAGAGAGATGAGCTTTGCCTTCCTGTATATATATATATGTATATGTACATAATCTATAGAGAGAGAGAGAACACCAACAACGAGAAAGAGAGAGGGAGAGAGAGAGAGAGAGAGATAGAAAGAGAAAGCACACAACAAAACAAACCATACCCCCGACATCATGATTTTTAGTGTTTTCATCCAGTGGTCGTTCTGGTGACGGCCCCGAGGCCCAATAATAAAGGGCCCTTCGAGGCCGAAGATAGCGAAAAATCTTCCGTCGCCTCTTTTTCCATGACCCTGACCCCTGAGCCGCCCGCCCCCTCCCCGTTTTCCTTCGGCCGCGTCCCATCCTCGCTCCTCCTCCTGCCTGGCACAATTCGCTCTGACGGAATGCCCGTTGAATCCTCCCATCGCCAGCGCAGTCACCCTCTGCCTAGCCTTAGGGGGAGCATTCAAAAGCATTCAAAAATACTCTGGGGACTATTCTTGTTGACTATGTTTGATCATTGTGGGATAATGTTCTGGGGTGTTTTTAATTTTTCGCCCAAAATCGGCCTGTAGGGGGACATGCCCACCCAAGCCTCGGCGCCGACGCAAGATCTTCCTCCACGACCCGCCAGGGCAGCGAGCGAGTTCCGTGCCTCCGCTAGGGGGGCGCCTCGCCCCCCCCCCCCCCCCCAAGGGCTCGTTTCGAGTCGCCCGATGCGATTCGCTTCGACTTCGATGGCTTCCAATTCCGCATCGATTCGTCCTGGGGTTCCGATTTGGTCTCCGATTTGGTATTGGATGATGGGCCTGTTTTCCACCACCACCACCATGAGTTGGAGGGGGGAAGGAGGACGACGAGGAGAAGGAGGAGGAGGTGGAGGAGGAGGCAGAGGAGGCGGAGGAACCCCTCCCCCTCCACTTTATGGTGGTGGTGGTGGTGGTGGAACATCCTGGCCGGCCGATTTCCGCCGATTCGCCGTTTCCGGGCTCGGCTGCCGACTTCCGCCGGTCCGAGTCATGCCGATCGCCGATCCGACTTGTCGAGCCGATTCTGGGCTCTCCAGCCCCGCACCCCCTCCCGCCGGGGCCGCGCCTGCCGAGGCGGGCAGAAGGGCGGGCGGCCGCCGCAGCCCACGAACGTGCTGCGCATAGGCCCCTCGCCCGCGCGCGGGGCGTAGCAGGGGGGGGGGGTCGCGCTGACCGCCCTCTATCTAGGAGGAGGAGGAGGAGGAGGAGGAGGAGGAGGAGGAGGAACGGTAGAAGGGAGGAGGAGGAGGAGGAGGAAAAGGGGGAGGAGGAGGAGGAGGAGGAGGAGGAGGAGGAGGAGGAGGAAGGGAGGAGGAAAAGGAGGAGGAGGAGGAGGAGGAGGAGGAGGAGGTGGAGGATGCCCCTCCCCCCAGCGCTCCCGCGTCCTTCCCTGCCTGGTCCTTTCTTTCTCTCTGTCCGCGGCGGCGGCGGCGGAGCGGAAGCAAGCTGCACTGCAGGCGCGGGCGGGGGGAGGCCCAGAGCCCTCGGAGGCCTCCGCAGGCCGTCGGAGGCCCTCGGAGGCCGCGCGCGGAGGGGGGGCACAGTCGAAGCCGACGGTGAGTCAGAGCCCCGCATCATCAGGGGTAACTCTGGTCAGGGATAACTCGGGTTCGTTTCTCGGGAATCCGAACCCGAGTTACCCCGGACCCGAGTTACCCCGGATAACTCGGGCGTCCAGAGCCCCGAATCATCAGGGATAACTGGGGTCAGGGCTAACTCGGGTTCCTTTTCCGGGAATCCAAACCCGAGTTACCCCGGACCCGAGTTACCCCGGATAATTCGGGCGCCCAAGTGAGGGTGATCGACTTCCCAAGGGTACCCTCCCGCATCCTTGCCCTTTCGGTCGTCTCCGGTCCATCCTCAACCACTCTCGATGGCCAGGCCCGCTCGGGAAGCTCCGGCACGGGCGTCCAAGAGGCGGGGCTCCTTGTCCGGCATCCTCACCAGAAGTTTTGACTGCGGGGGGAGGCGGGAAGGCTTCTCAGGAACACCCCTGCTTCTTAGAAGGCGCAGGCCTTGTAAATATGTGTAGGGCTGGCGCCTTCTAATGAGCAGGCTCCTTCTAAGGAGCCCTTCCCCCTCCCCATGCACCCCTGTGCTCGCCGCCAGAAGAAGACGACGACAAAGAAGTCGAAGAAGAATAAGAAGACGAGCAAGAAGCGTAAGCTGTATGAGCGGCAACCTTCGGAGGAGGAGGAAGGTAAGAAGGGGCGAAGCAGGCAGCCATCGGATTGGCATGAATCGCTCTAGAGCGTTCCGATAGATCATTCAAAACGGCCGCGGCGCCGGGTAGATCCTCCAGAACCGACAGATCTCAGAGATTCCCGAGTTTGTCCCTGTCCTGACCTACGCTACCCTAAGGCGCAAGAGGTGGGGGTGATGAGGGGGAGGTGGAGGCGGGACGGAGTGATGTGGCGGAGGCGTCCCAGTAATCGCAAGAACCCAAAACTTCGGGAAAAGGATCCAGGGTTCCAGCCCCCCCCGTCATGCTGATGCCTGCGCTAACCCCCCTTGTGGGCGTGGGATGGTGGGGGGCGCACATGCCGCCCCACCCACCCCCTTGTGAGTGTGAGATGCTGCTGCGGTGCCGTCGTCGTCGACGTCGTCGTCGCCGTTGACGTCGTCGTCGTCGTCCCCGTCGTCCTCGTCCTCGTAGTCGTCGTCGTCGTCGTCGTCATCGTCAGTCGTCGTCGTGGTGGTCGTCGTCGTCATCGTCGTAGTCGTCGTCGTCGTCGTCGTCGTCGTCGTCATCATCAGTCGACGTCGTCGTCATCTTTGTCGTCGTCGCCGTCGTCGTCGTCATCGTCGTCGTCGTTGATGACATGTCATCGTCGTCGTCATCGTTGATGTCGTCAGCATCGTCGTCGTCATCGTCGTCGTAGTCGATACTGTCGTTGTAGTCGTCGTTGATGTCGTCGCCGTCGTCGTCGTTCTCGTTCTCGTCGTCGTCGTCGCCGTCGTCAAAGTCGTCGTCATCGTCGATGTCGTCGTCGTCGTCGTTGATGTCGTCGTCATCGTTGTCGTCACCATCGCCATCGTTGTCTTCGTCGTCTTCGTCGTAGGTGGCATTGTCGTCGTCATTGTCGTTGTTGTCTTCGTCGTCGGTGTCATCGTCGTAGTCGTCGTCATTGCCGTCGTCGTAGTCGTCCTCGTCGTCGTCCATGTCGTCATCGTCGTCGCCGTCGTCGCTGTCGTCATCGTCGTCGTAGTCGTCATCGTCGTCGTCTTCATCGTCGTCGTAGTCGTCGTCGTCGTTCTCCGTCGTCGGCGTCGTCGATGTCGTCGTCGCAGTCGTCGTTGTCCATGTCGTCGTCGTCGTTGTTGATGTTGTCGTCGTCGATGTTGTCGTCTTCGTCGTCGTCGTCGTCGTTAATGTTGTCTTCGTTGTCGTCGCCGTCGTCATCGTTGTCGTCGTTGTCGTCGTCGTCGATTTCGTCATCGTCGTCGTCGTCGTCGCTGTCGTGGTCTTCATCGGTGTCGTCATTGTCGTTGATGTCGTTGTCATCGTCGTCGTCGAAGTCTTCGTCGTCGTTATCGTCGTCGTCTTCGTCGTCGTCGTCCCCGTCGTCAGTCGTCGTCGTCGTCGTCGTCATCGTCGTCACCTTTTTCGCCGTCGTCGTCGTTGATGTCGTCGTCGCCGTCGCCGTCGTCCTCGGTGTCGTCGTCGTCGTAGTCGTGGTCGTTTTTTCTTGTATGTCTTCGTCGTCGTTGATGTCGTCATCGTCGTCCTCGTTGTCGCCGCCGTTATCGTAGTCGTCATAGTTGTCGTCGTAGTCGTCGTCTTCGTCGTCGTCATCGTCGTCGTCGCCGTCGTCTTCGTCGTCATTGTCATCATGGGCAGCGTCGTCGTCGCCATTGCCGGCATCGTCGTCATACAGTCGGCCTTCAGTAGGTCGACCCTGGCAAGTCAAGGGTACCCTCGTGTCCTGTCTTGAGAGGCCCGTGCCTTCTAAATTCCTGTGGCAATGTAGCCCTCGGAAGGGTCTTGTGTCCTCTCGCGTGTCCTCTCCAATCAAGCCCGACTGTAGTCGTCGTCGTCTTCGTTGACGTCTTTCGTCGTCGTCGTGGACGTTGTCGTCAGTCGACGTCGTCGTCGTCGTCGTCAAAGTCGTCGTTGTTGATGTCGTCGTCGTTGTCGTCGTTGATGTCGTCGTAGTCGTCGTCGTTGATACTGTCGTCGTCGTAGTCCCCATCGTCGTCGTCGTCGTTGATGTCGTCGTCGTTGATGTCGTCTTCGTCGTCGCCGTCGATGTCGTCGTCGTCGCCGTCGTCGCCATCGTTGTCGTTGCCGTCGTCGTTGATGTCGTCATCGTCGTCGTAGTCATCGTCATCGTCGTCGTCGGTGTCGTCATCGTCGTTGATGTCGTCATCGTCGTTATTGTCGTCGTCGTCATCGTTGTCGTCGTCGTTGATGTCGTCGTCGTCGATGTTGTCGTCGCCGTCGTCGCTGTCGTCATCGTTGTCATCGTTGTTACCTTCGTCGTCGTCGTGATGCCAGTCGTCGTCGTTGATGTCGTGCTCGTCGCCGTCGCCGTCGCCGTCGTCGTCGTCGTCGTCGTTGTCGTTGTCGTAGTCGTCGTTGTCGTAATTGTCGTCGTAGTTGTTCTTGTCTTCGTCGTCGTCGTCGGTCGTCATCGTCCCCCGCCATCCCATCCGTGGAGGGGGGGGGCCCGTAGGGCCATGGGGCCCATCCATTCTGCGGGAAGGCCTGTGAACCTTCGCCCTGGGATCATGTGCGAGTTTCTGTTGTCAGCGCACTGACACATCGCAGCGTGGGATGTCTGAGTCTGGGTTCGGCCGCACGTGAGCGTGGCCCGTGGTCCGAGTGCCCGTCGCTGCGCGGCCTTCGGGGGGGCGCCGGGCGGAGAGGGGGAGGGGGCAGGCCCGAGCTTGCGGGCCGACAGGGCCCCGACAGCCCATCCTGCACAGGAATGTGCGTATTCGCCATCGGGGGCTTGTCGCTAGTCTATCAGCGACGTGTCGCTGATTTCAGGTTGATGTTTCCCCCGTAAGCTGGAGGAGGAATGGACGGCAGGATACGGAGGTGGAGGGGGGAAGGAGGTGGAGGGGGGAGGGGAGAAGGAAAAGGGGAGGAGGTGCAAGGGGAGGGGGAGACAGATGATCGAGTGGACGGGGAGCAGGAGAAGGAGGAGGGGAGGGGTAGGAGGGGGGGATGCAGGAGGAGGAGCAGGAGGAGGAGGAGTAGGTTGGGGGTTGGAGCTTGCAGGGGGATTAGTGAGGAGGAGGAGGAGGAGAAGGAGCAGGAGGAGGAGAGGGAGAGGGGAGGAGGAGGAGGAGGAGGAGGCGGAGGAGGAGGAGGAGCAGGAGGAGGAGGAGAAGGAGCGGAGAAGGCGGCGGAGGAGGGGGGAGGAGGAGGAGGAGGAGGAGGAGGATGAGGAGGAGCAGGAGGAGGAGGAGAAGGAGGCGGAGAAGGCGGAGGAGGGGGAGGAGGAGGAGGAGGATGACGAGGAGGAGTAGGAGGAGGAGGAGGAGGAGGAGCAGGAGGAGGGAGGAGGGAGAATGAGGAGGGAGGAGGGAGGCAGGGAGGAAAGAAGGGAGGGAGGGAAGGAGGATGAGGAGGAGAAGGAAGGAGGAGGAGGAGGAGGAGGAGGAGTATGTTGGGGCTCGGAGCGTGCAGGGGGGCGAGTGATGCTGGTGATGATGATGATGATGCTGATGATGATGATGATGGTGATGATGATGATGATGCTGATGATGATGATGATGATGATGATGATGATGATGATGGTGCTGATGCTGATGCTGATGCTGATGATGATGATGCTGGTGATGATGCTTGTGATGGTGAAGGTGACGATGCTGCTTGTTGTGGTGATGCTGCTTCTGCTGATGATGACGATGATGATGATGTTGCTGCTTGTGATGACGATGATGGTGCTGATGGCGATGATGTTGATGGTGACCATGCTGATGGTGGCGATGCTGCTGCTGATGATGATGATCATGATGATGAGGATGCTGAGACTGATGCTGATGCTGATGGTGATGATGACGATGTTGATGATGGTGATGCAGTTTTGATGCTGATGCTGAGGCTGATGGTGCTGGCAATG